TGTCCCGTCGGTGGTCCCCGACACTTAGTCCCGCCGATGGTCCCTCATACTTAGTCGCGTCAGCGGTCCCCGACACTTAGTCYCGTCAACGGTCCYYAAGACATTTCGCCCCGGACGCCATTATTTTTACTTAGTCCCACGTGGCCCCGGGTGCCTTTCCCCGAGGTGTCCCATGCCCCTTGGGCGTCTTGTCRCCCCATAGCGACCCCTCTCCTTAGTCTTTCCTTGCGCCTTGTGCGTGCCGATCTCTTTCGGTCGTGGGCCTCTGCTCCGAGGCTCCCGTAGGTGGCCTCCATGTTGGCCCCTCATTTCCCGACTTCCTGCGGCCTGTGGACCGCCCATCTCTTGGCTTCCTCATTCCCTTATTGCTGTCGAGCTGCAATTGCTAGTTCAAAGGGGCCCTTTGGCCTTAGTCTTATTGCATTCCGATGGCCCTCCCGACCTCCTGCTATGTTCTATGTGGCCCTGTTCTTGCGCTCGCTTGCTTGCCGTCGCTAGTTCTTTCCTCCTGTGGTTCTCTCCTCAGGGCATCACTCCCTTCTGCAGCCTAATCCTTTCTCTCTCCTGCTTCCTCACTCCAGATTTTTTTGTTGTGCACAAATTGTCCGTATTCAATCTCTCGAGTGATGGGAAGTTATTCGGATATGTTTGGCAAGATGAGGAGGACGAACTCGTAGAACGACTACTTAACTGATGAAATTTTGTTCTGACATGCAGATGCCTGGAGCTCGACAAGACATGACCATTACGAGGTACCTGCTGGTTCGCGATACATTTGAGGACGATCTCATCAGAGGAGCGGAACAACTTCTACCGGTTCGAGACGATTCTCCTGCTGAGTGGATCGGCTTCATCGGACTGCTCCGGAAAGGTGAGGGATTCTTCCCTAATACTCGCGCGGATTTCCGAGCCAATATGGCTCGGACTTCGGATGAGTTCTTTGGATATACTTTGTACTTTCATCGCGCAAACGATCTCCAATGTCTCTCTCGAGTCGTTGTGAGCATCACGATTACCTCGTCCGATAGACGTTTCGATGTCGTTCGGATGCGGGATATGCGAGGAGGACGAGCAACGTCCCTGGTTTTCGAACTATTAGAGACTATTAGAATTATGGATGACTAGCCTTATGGAGGACCTCCTTCTATGGTACTCGAACTATTAGAATTATGCGAGGAGGACGAGCAACGTCCCTGGTTTTCGACGATGATGAGCTTGCGAGACTAGAACTATTGGAGGCTCAGGTGCGTGGCGTACGGCAGGTTTACCAGGGTTAGACGCCGCTTTCTTGAAATCTTACGCAGATTCCAAAAAACTCCTCGCATAAACTGATCCCGTTGAGGGAACCATATTATTTATGGCTTCACAAGGTAATCTCAAAACACAAAACAAAAACACATTATGTAGATAGGACTGCCAGATGGATTGTATCTGGAATACCCCGATGATGGCACTATCATGCTTATGCATTGAGGGGTAACCACATGCGTAAAAATGCATGTCAGAAGCTAGAGGGAGACGATAACGGAGGTGGGGTCGAACCGAGAGTTCAAACTTAGACCAGGAACCAGATCACTTGTTGATCTGCACGGTAGCAGTGGTATTTATTTACAGAATCTAACCATGACAAGCTTCTGTAGGCACAATGTTGTCCTAAACTTAAAACTTGGAAAAAATATAACTTCAACGTAAAAGCTTGAAATTATGACGAGTAGGAAAGTTGATAGCATGACCCTTTTTCGTCAGACCAAACCTATTAAAGAGTTATGCTATAATTGTTGAGCTGCTTGATATGAAAAAGTGACTTCATATGTATTATTTTTGGTGATTTCGTCTGAATAACTCATATACATATATATCTATATTTGTATGAGGAAATTGTGTGCAAGGGGCTAGGGTCAAGTTGATATCGGTTTCTATACTCGACCGAAACCGCCCTAGTCGACCGACGTACACTTCATCCTTGAGAGATCAGCGGCCTAAGTGACGAACAACGTCCGGGTTCAACATGCGCTTAATTCTAGTATACCTATACTATAGCGTGCGAGCAAACACCCTCGGCTGACCCACCTCTGCAACTGCATGTAAAAGCTTTCGTACGTGGGTCAGTAGCTCGGTAGGGATACGGCCGTAAGGTTGGTGACAGCCCCTTAGGGAGGCAAGCTTATGCCCTGTGGGAACATGTCCTGTCGTAGGGGACCACGGGATGTACAGCTGACGCACCCGGCTAGAGCGACGAAGGGACGACGCAACTCCGCACCGCCTCGGCGGCTCGCGGAAACTATTTCAGGTTGTCCCTAAGTTGTCTCCGTGTTTTGTTTTAATTGTGTAACTCCTGCGTGACGTGGCCGGGAGGGCCCTCGCTTGCGCGGGGGCCGATGCGCTCGACACCGGAACTCATTAGGCACAGGATTTTGAGTTTTGAGAAATGCGAACAGATTAGGGAAATCGTAAAGTTCTGGACTTACCAAGGATCTTGCAAAAATGAAACCCTAATTTGGATGCGATTCCTTAAAACCGAAAAATTGTCATAACCCTAACTTGCCACTTTTGTATTTCCGTGGAATAGGCGAAGAGTTGAGCTTTTTGAAATTTCCAAAATGCGCGGAATTTCGGAATCTGCGGAATTCGATGAAGGCCAAAATGTTTGGAATTTTCCCAAATTTGCAGATTTCACGGAATGCTGAAATTTCCGGGATTCCAAAATGCGTAGAATTCGCAGATTTCTCGGAATACTGAAATTGTCGGGTTTCCAAAATTCGCGAATTACCGAAAGTGTGACTTTAGGAATTAATGATTACAACAGAAAGAAGATAGGTAAAGAAAAAGAGTTTGCAAAACTTTAGTGCCTTCAGTAGTTGTTAATCTTGATTAAGGTTAGAATGCAAATCGCAGACTAGTGCTAATTCGTGATTAGCGCAAATCCGGGGTTACTGTTAATTGCCACTAATCAAGGTGACAACTTCAGTAAAACAAACTTTTTTTTTTTCCCCAAGAAATTTGATGAATCCCTACTTCATTGATCAATCAATCAATCAATCCATCGATCAATCAATCAGTCAATCAATCAATCAAGTTGGTTTCTTGATTGGGCAGATCCTCTTTCGAGAGGTCTGCTCCGATACCAAACTGTCACATACCAAGACGTTACAGACTAGAACCAAGAACCGACCTCTTACAGGTAGAGCACGATAGCACAGCAGAAGACCGGAATACAAATGATCAGACCCAATCAATGTCTAAATGCAGACTGGACATACATCATCATCATCACACGGTGTGAATGGCCTGGCGCCGCACACTAGGACGAAGGTGCCAGGCCTAACTCATACACAAATAAGGAGGGGGAAGAGAAGAAGGAGAAGGGGGAAGAGATGAGAATGTCGTCAACCGAAATGTCGCTGATATCAATCCCAAGTAGTCTCCCCAACGTCTCTGTCCAATGTCGAGTTTGAATCCGAAGTGTCGTCAATCTCTCTCTCTCTCTCTCTCTCTCTCTCTCTCTCTCTCTCTCTCTCTCTCTCTCTCTCTCTCTCTCTCTCWCACACACACACACACACACACACACACACACACACACACACACACACACACACACACACACAGCCGAATAAGAAGTCTCGCTGGGAGAGGACGAAGAAGATCTCTCTCTCTCTCTCTCACACACACACACATAGCCGAATAAGAAGTCCCGCTGGGACAGGAAGAAGAAGATCTCCCTCTCTCTCTCTGTGTCTGTCTCTCTCTCTCTCATAGACGAATAAGAAGTCACACTGGGAGGGGAAGAAGAAGGTGGACTGGAGGAGGACGAAGAAGAAGATCTCTCTCTCTCCCTCTCTCTCTCTACACCAGGTACTGACCTGCGAAAGGTGGTGCCTTGATGCAGGTGCGGACGTGCCGAAGACGAAGCTGGAGCAATTGGCACGCACGTACGTCTCAGGTAAGTCCTCTAGCCGCCATCACCATCTCTCCCTCCCTGCGCTACTCTACTCTATCAGCGCCCAGCGCTTGAAGACTAGTCCTATCGTCGACTACTACTGCACTGCCGTCGTCCAAAGTATGCCTCACCTCGATCCCTAACTGAATGTCGTGACTGAGGCCGGACCCAGCTATATATAGCGCTGGGTCAGCCTCAGCTGCTGAGTCCTGGCGCTTAAACTGAGGCTGGGCCTCAAAAGTTCGGCGCCCAAACGGAGGCTGGGCCTCCAACGCCTACCGAAACGGCGCGGTCGCAGAATCAGGGTCTGGTGCCAAAACGTTCGCCAGGGCCTGTAACAAAAACGAGGCCTACTGGCGTGGTACCAGTCCTGCTCAGGCCTAAAAACCGGCCTACCGACCCAGCGGACCCTACTGAGGGTCGAAATGACACAGACCATACACTCTACGGACCCCTAGCCTACTTGGTCGGGGCCCGCTGGGCCCGTGTGGAACTGAGTATGCCACACACACACACACACACACAAGACCACATGACAGATTGCTGTGAACGAGTATTGTTACAGTCGTTAATCAGCCTGCTCACAAGATTAGGTTCTCCCAGATCACACACACACACACACACACACACACACACACACCAACACAAGACCACATGGCAGATTGAAGTGAACGAGTATTGTTGCAGACGTTAATCAGCCTCCTCACAAGATTAGGTTCTCTCCCATCACAGCATTGAGTCACAAAACACCCGGTGGTTGAGGATTACTGACTTCAACAAAAGTTGGGAGGTTTCCAAACAAACAGGAGTTGATGGGCACAGTCAGATTCCACCAGTTCAGTCATGCACCCAATCCCTGGTTGATGGGCACAGTCAGATTCCACCAGTTCAGTCATGCACCCAATCCCTGGAAGTCACACCGTGCAGGCAGGCATACATGACCAATTAGAACGACCTTACTCCTCAAAGATTTACTTAAGGTGAGGGGTGAGGGCATGGGAGGCACTCACACGTTGAGGCGACCCACCCCCTGCTCGAACATGTTTGGCCCATCAAGTCGTACCGCCCCCTCTACTAGAGCTTGCTTCATGCTTGCAGGGTTCAAAATATCCCATCTGCCTTCCTCTGGGATCACACTTGCAAGCAAGCAGACAGCACCAGCCACAACAGGAGATGCAACACTCGTTCCCGAGAGGCTTCTGCACCCTCCCACAATCTTTGAGCCCATGACCTCCCTACCATAGGCCACAATGTCTGGCTTCATGCGCCCATACCTGTGCACCAAGCAACCAACACAGAGTTTTCAAATGTCAGCTTCCAATATCACCTGAAAGAGCTAATCTTGGAAAAATATCTGAAGACCTGTTCAGAGCCCATAGCTGAAGGACGGCAAAATATATATATATATATTTTTTAATAAAGAAAACAGACCCTTATGGTTCTGCCTCCTTATCCATTCTGGGAAGCATCAGTCCGGTTCCTCTTCCACCGGCAAGTCACATAATCAGAACACTCACCCAAACCACGCTCCCCCCCATTATGGCTGGAAGGCCAGAGTGGACGCCATTGATTTCTTCCTGCAGGACGGATGTACGGCCCCTCACAACTGCCTAAGCTGGCCTAGAGGATATTAAGGCTTGTTCTGTTTCGGCCCCTCTCAGCTCAGCAGTCGTCTGATAGGTATTGTTAGCTAGAGCAACCCAGACCCTATTCTTCAGTCTGAAGCAATACTAGCTTCCAGCAGTCCGGAGCTCTCTAGCCGTCTCCAGTTCCTTTGTGTCCCCCTCCTCTTGAGCTGCCCGTGCCCAGATGCATTTAAGGCGGGAGCCCTCTAGCCGCCCTAGCTTCCCATTTCCTAAGGTCTCGTTCACAAACTTGTCAATGATGTCTGGTTTCTTGTCAAGTTCCTGAACGAGTTGCTCTCTTCACTTTATGGTATGGTACTGTCAGATTTAAATGTAGGTATACTTTACATGAGCCAGTCCACCTGATATTCCGTTTCCAGGAGCTGTCTGAGGTCCTCCCCCGCTCTCTCTGGGGCCACTTCCTGCCCTTCGATAGTTCCCTCACCTCTTCTCTTCTAAACTTCCCAGGAGTGTGAGCGGCCGAATGCGTCTATCCAGCTTCAGTGTCCATTTGCCCAGCCCTCTGGGTTGCTGGTGTCCTGGGAGCAAGGCCAGGGGCTCGCCTGTTAGGTTGGTGCTTGTGGCTGCAAGCCCCATATCCCGGGTGTAGTTCCACAGTTGCCGAGCTTTTGGGCAAGCCAACAAGGGGGTGATGTCCTCAGGCACCCCGTTGTCACAGATTGCAACATGCACATAGATCGTCAAAAGGCCACCTGTTAGCTGGCACCCTCCTCTTGCTGAGCCATTTGTTGACAGGGAGTGCTTGAGAAGGCAACAGCCATTGCATGCTACTAACCTTGGCGTTGCAATCAGACTCGCTCTCTTTTTCACTTCGCAACATGCAAACAGATGGAAATCGCCTGAACATCCCAACTCTCGTCACTGTGTTCGACACCACTGTTCGCACATACTCAACTCCGGATCACCCTGAATACCCCACGCACATACACTCTGCAACACACACACTGAATTCTGCCTCTAAGCTACAGCGGCTATGGCCGCCTAAGCCCTACTAGCTATGAATACTGTCTTCCTTCGGCCCACTTCGTCCTCAGGCATCTGCAGACCACCTTGCACAAGACGCTAGGGCAGCGCTTCCGCATGGCTCACGCAGGAATCAATCCATGGCTGGACGCTGCCTCTTGATTTGTACTTCTGTGAGTCGCTGGTCTGCCCCTTTCCACCGGGCCCATGGTGCACACAGTCCCTCATGGTACTTGCTGACTGTGCAAAGTGAGACTGGGACTGTGGGGAGTCTTCCCAGGTCCAAACCACCCAATCTCCTGATGGCCAGCCCGTCTCTTTGGGGGGAATGGAGATTTGTAGCAGGTTGTGACGGTCTTTTAGCAGGTCTCACAGCTCCCCCACGGTTATCCAACGTTCCGCTGCTGATGCCAGGTACATTTCACCTGCCAAATCCATCTCTCCACCCATGTGGCCCATCTGCCGTCCCAGGCTGTTGAAGTCCACGACTTTCGGTTCTATTTCAGCATCCACTGGCTGCAGAAGAGGGGCTGCCTAAGCATTTCCTCTTTTGAGGCCGGCGCCTTGACCTTTGCCAGAAAGATCTGCTTCCATGTGTGTAGGAACTGCATCCAGTAGTGGTCGTTCCCCCCCCATCGCCAGCCCTGCTGCTTTTTTTAATTGGCCGCAAACAGACGTGTGAGGAATGAGTCCTCAAGAAGGGGCCTTGCCATGATGTACATGTTCTGGGCTAAGGCCCCAGCAAGCCTCGTGCCCGCCCTAAGCGAAGGCGGGCCAGCAAATCAACAAGAGCCCTCTGTGCCAACATTTCACGAAGTGGGATCCATACAGTTGCAGCACGCCAGTTGGTTGGAGTGCACCAAGTCTCGGATTTCAGCAAATGCTGAAAGCCCAGGGCCTCTGAGTTAGTTAGGCCCTGGGCACTCGAAAGTGAGGCCAACAATGGATGCTGGGTATAGAGGCCGAAAATGCCAAAGGGAAATCGGCCCACTATCTGAATCTAGCCGCAGGCCTTGATGAAAGAGGCGCAACTGCATTGCCCCGGGGCCCAACTGTATCGGGTTGGCTTCAGCCTCTGGGTCCCGGTCACAGGCTGAAGGGAGGCCGCCCACACCCTGCACTGGCATATAGGCAAGCAGGGCGAGTGGGCAGGGATCTTGGCCAATGCTGGCATTGCGGGCACGCTGCGCGGATGCATGTGTGCTGCGCTGTGCAGAGCTGCGCTGCGCTAAGGTCAGGCAGGCTAGCGCTAGGCGGTAGGGCGCTGCCTGCATGCAGGGCACTGGCAGCCATAGCCGGGCCGCATGAGGGTGCAGGAGAGGTGAAGGGCGACGGTGGTTCTTCGGAGGTGAAGGGCGCTGTGTGGGTACAAGGGAGAGTGTGGGTGAAGAGGACACGTACCTGGTGGAGGTGGAGGTCAGCATTGGTGTTGACATCATCACTCGCTGGCTGTAGAGTAGATAGGGCGCCTGGCGCCATTCACAAGAGAGAGCTACATTTGGGTTATGCATTGGTGTTGCCCTGTTGGGCATGGACATTGACTCACGATTCTTCTGTATCATTCTCAATTGGATGGTTACTCGGTTCCATTGTGCTATCTGCTTTGGCTTGGACTAGTTGAACTTCAGTGTGATTTTGCATTCTGGATTTCTGTGCTTCGTCCATACTCATGTTCCTTGCAGACGTCTACCAGACCAGGACTTGGCCATGACCCAGAAAAAGATCACCCTTTTTTAATAGAATAAACACGCACACTGCATGCACGAGCATAGAGGCTGGCATTGGCACGCCGTTATCAAGATTAGTTGATGTTGTCGTCACCCGATGTGAATTTTGTTGACCAGCTTGAAAGTGGCGCATGAGTCCGCCCGGCGCTAGGCTCGTGAGACTCGTAATTTTTGTGCTTCCTTTTCTTCCAACGGAGGTCCCCTACGACCCATAAGTGGGGTGTGATGGGCGCAGAAGTTGGGAGTTTTCGCGCACTCAAAGTAGTGAGTTCGTCGGCCTAAATAGTTTAGGTACAGTTTGGAAGTGGCCGCTCGTGCGGCCCGACATTGTGCTCGGTAGCTGGGGGATCACCCCGAGCCTTCATGCCGCAGATGCCGTAATTTGGCAGCCACAGGAGCTGGTAGGCCAAGGTGTGGTCTTGGGGAAGTTTGGCAGGCCAAGGCCTGGGGAAGATACTCTTTGTATGGGGTTCTGCATCTGGTAGGCTCAGGCTTGGGACTAGCCCTACGATAGGTATGAAGATCAAAGCCGACGGGCGAGGAAGGAGCGAAGGAGCACGATTGAAGGAGACCAAAGGGCTGAAGGCCCGGCGGGACTATCCTTTTTGGTTTTGCCATCGGTACCGAGCATGGGCCCGACTCGCAGGACCGAAGGGGTGCCAACAGTTCCCCTCTCTCCCCTCCTCCTCTACTTCTCTTTTTTCTATTATTATTGTGATGAGGAGGAGGTAGAGCAGCCAGGTCGGGGAAGAGAGAGGGAGGGAGTGAGAGCACACATACACACACTCACTCAACTCGACACAGACTCGACACGACTTGACGGACACAAACACAAAGTGGCATAGTCGCAAAGTCGCAATCTTGGTTCCGTACACAATGTCGCAGCAAGTCACACTGAAGCACAAGCACTGAGGCCGAAAACTGAATGCCCGAACTCAGCTTGAGTCCGGTCTTAAGTACCGGACTCGAGTCGAGTCCGAGGGCAGAAGTGCAATTTGCCTCGGGGCTGAACTGAAAATCAAAGGTCTGAGCCTGGGCGCCAGAATGCCGGATGGCGCCAAGTATCGAAATCCAAAAGTGCCAGAGGCGGCATTTGAGAAGGGACGCCAACTGCAGAGGGTGCCAACAGTCAAGAACCGGAGATCAAAGACAAAAAAAAACAAGAATAGCAGCCTGGCGGGTGGTAACCTGCGGACTAGGGATCGAGCCCTGGCTGAGTCCGTAACACTATCCCCTCCCTCTGGAAGGCAACGTCCCGGCTGCCAAAGACCCAATGAACAACTGTGAAGGACGGGACAGGGCCGGTCACTGGTCAGAAAAGGAAAGGGGTAATGCAAGTAGCAGGGTATTCCTATGGGGGTTCTTCAGGAATGAGGGAATCAATGTTCAAGTAACAGGGAAGTCCTATTGGTGTTCTACAAGGTTGTAGGTTGTCAGGTTTGAGGGAAAAAAGAAAAAAAAATTGTTTGTTCAATGCTCAAGTGCTGGGGTGTCTGAGGAGGTCTGGGAAAACAACGTCTCAGGCCCGTAACAAAGTGTCAGAGGCGAAAAATGTCGTGAGGAAGGTCTTGGCGGGTGTCGCAGAAGTGGCGGTGAGGAAGCAGTTTTCAGCAGTTCTGTGATATAGACGGCGAGGGCTTCAGCTTGATTGTCCCAGCAACAAGTTGCGTCCAGTACACGATCTGGTGACGAGGTCTGATCCGGATAGCAGGACGCAGACTGATCTTGATGTCCATGTCAAAGGTGCTGCTTCAGAAGTCTGCAAGTCCAAGGCGTCGGCCAAAGGGAACAGCATGGTGGCCAACCAGCTGTCTTATCTCCTCGTACTGAGCTGCAGCATGCCATTGTCCTCGTGCGCTTGCCATTAGATCCATTATCGCCAGCGACGCGTAAGGGCCACATAGAGAACTTGGACAAGAGAGACAAGGATGTGGCGGA